AAAAAGAAATCCTGGTGAGTACATTCTAATCTAGAATTGCCAATAATGTGTGTCACTGTAACTAAACATAGAATATATTTTACGCAAAACATGAAATTTTATAATGTTTAAAAACTATATAATTCATATATGCTAATGAAAGTCTGAAAAATCAAAGCAAACTCCAAGATTGGTAATTGTAATATACAAAGAGTTGATTGTCAATCACCTGTTCACATTTGTCCTTTATCTGTTCTGGAACATTATATTCAGACCCAGGAAAAAAAGAATAGCAGATTTTATTCGTACCTGTCTATGGTTTCCTTGACAACTACTGTAGATGCTGCTATCACCATGGGGATGGTTCTTCTAAATGAAGCAGCAACTTCCAAAGGGGATGTCGGGAAAAGACGGAGTAAGTTTATGTTGCCATATCTGTTGTTTTGTTTTAGTCTTAGGATTTATTTAATTCAAAGGGGACACAGAACAACTTTTTGTAAACACAGACTTCCCTGGGATGAGAGGTCTGTGATGAAGGAAGTTAAGATTTTGGTTTACTTGTCTTTTCTTTATTTGATGTGTGCAAAATGAACTTGAAAATATTTCTTCCAAAATGGCATCTGAGTGCTTTCTGTGAGTTGCGTGCCCAGGCGGGGAGGTGGCGTCGCCCTGTCAGGGCTGCTCTGTCCCATTTCTGCTACAGCCGCTCTGTGCTGGCACCTCCTCACGGCACAGATGGTCAGTCTTCAGAGATTTTATTGGCAGCAATGCATTTTTATGTCATGAGACTCAGGTATCTCACCGAAGCTGGTGCAGATGGGGGAGCTGCTGCTGAAGCTTCTTTTGTGCACAGAACTTGATTCCCTTCCAATTCCCTCCATGTCTTTTACTGACATTTAGGAGACCACAGGGATCTCTGTTCCAGGAGAGGCAGGAACTTCCCTTTCCAGGGACTTTGCTCTTCTGTTGCTATCCCATAATTTGCAACCCTGTAGGATGCCAGCATTTTAGGTTAAGCAAGTTAACTTTTGCCCTTTCTTGGGACTGTTCCATATCCAAGGATTGTGGACAGAAATTAACTCTTAAAGTGAAGGATGTTGATGCAAACACGGCAGAATATGGGGAGTATCTGCTGCTGCCCTGTGAAAGTTGTCAGGACAGGACAAGGCTTGAGTCTTGGTTTCCTGCCACGAACTTTTCAGAGTTAATATTTTGACTTGCTAAAACAGATCTTTCAGGAAATACAGCTACAGTTTGCAGCAACCCATTTTGTTGCATAATTCCTGAACTTATTTTACAACCTAAATTTAAATATGAAAAGCATGTGGGTCCCCAAAAAATATTAGTTCATTAAAATATTTAAAATAAAAATCTAGATTTGTTTTTTTTTTTCTTACTGTACTTTGAAGTATTATGAGTGTGTATAAAAGAGCCATAGTGGCTGGACGGGGGTGGCTCATGCCTTTAACCCCAGCATTTGGGAGGCAGAGCCAGGTGGATCTACAGAGCAAGATCCAGGATAGGCGCCAAAACTACACAGAGAAACCCTGTATTGGGGAGAAAAAAAGAGCCATAGTGACTTCTGAATACTTACAAGCATGAAGTATTGAAATGTTTGGAGGTAGTATAGAGTTGAGCCTGGCCTCAATGGTACTCTGATGCTATCTACACTAACACAAAAAGACTCAGAACTGAGCACATTGCCTTAAGCATAGTAACATCTTTTACATAAACAAATGTTGTTCTTGGGGTTGGCAGGGCATTTTTATGAGCCCATATGCTTAATATAGTTGTATAGTAATGTTATTTCTCCCCACCTAAATTACAGTAAGAGCTGTGTAATTAGTTGTTTAATCTCACAACTATGATACAGAGTTTAGGACAGCATTGTCCCTGTGTAACACCTGCTCCCCTTACCGCCACATTAACTTGTATGTGTGGACTGGAAGGCTGGGATGCATGTGAGAAAGAAAAAGAGGGTTTGGACTTGCACAACTGCTGGGATTGTCACTCTGCCTGGGGAAGAAGAGTGCGGGCCTCAGTGAGGCCTTCCTCCTGCTCTTATCTCACGGGCTCCTCCATTCCTGTCCTCAGACACTGGAGTAGCACCTTGCTCTCACTGCAGAGAGTCACGTTGGTCCATCAGCTTTGCTTGATCACAGATGTGGAGCCTCATTCTCCATTGTTCCATTCCTCTTCTAAATGGTACCCTAAGAAAGTAGGAAAGAAAAGAGTATGTGGTCGATACTGTATTTGAGAAGGTATGAAACGAAACTATCTAAGCTCAGTGAGATAGCTGTAAGAAATTTACATGCTATGTATCCTGGGTCTGATATGAGTCATTCTCGGAGAGGATACAGTTTTTTAAAAGGCGCTTTACTTTATTCTCTGGTAGTATTCATGTGAAGCTAACAGCTCAGTGTTGTCACAACAGAGGCTGTGACTGACTGCTACTAAATGTTCCTGATGTTTTATCATTTGTACTGTAAACAGCCGTTCATATTCCTAACAAAACTGCATGGACAACTTCACATTTCAGGATTGCTGTCAGACCCTTCCTGCAGGCTCCTTCCCCACTGTCGAAGCAGAGATCTGTTTGACTGCGCTGTTCTTCTGACTTAACATCTCAATCTCATTGTGTCACTCTCTTAATATTCCCTCAGACTAACAAATATTTGTTAATTATCTTGCAAATGTTTTATTCATAACTGATACTTAGGTAACACTAACGTCTAATTCTATTGGACAGAGTTAGGAGACAGTTTCTCTGTGTAACAGCCCTGGCTGTCCTGGAACTCACTTTATAGACCAGGCTAGCCTCAAACTCAGAGATCTGCCTGCCTCCTAAGTGCTGGAATTAAAGGCATGGGCCACCACCTCCTTTTTTATTCTAAGTATGTCTACATTTAATTGGGTAATACAGCTTAAACTTTAGAAGCAGATTTTAATTGTACTAATAGCAGTGACTGTTATTTAAATATTATATGTGTATGCAAAGGGCAACTAATATGTTTCATTAGTCACTTATCCCAGTTATAATAGAAGGAAATGAGAACTGAGAAAGCAATGTCCCTGCTGTCCGGTTTCAGTACTGCAATAGTGTTGAAAGCCTGCACATGGAACATGGCCTCCGCTCTGTCATAAAGAGCACAGCTACCTCACTCTGACACCGCGACATGCTCTGGATGGTCTCTTCCTCCCTGGCTTTCACTAAGGACGGTTTCCTACCCACAGGATTTTGTTCCTAGCCTTTTGTTTGCTGGGATGTAGTGTTTCTAAGTAACATGGGCTCTACTGAGGCAATCATGAAACCAATAGCTAGAATTATATTTCTGTGTGAAGACTGCAGGGTGTCTGGGAAGAGGTTTGGTTTTTTTGTTTGTTTGTTTTTTGTTTGTTTTTTTTTTTTTTTTAGCATCTGCTAAGTGCTATGTTCCTGCTGTCTTGGCCAGCAGGACTGGGGACTGACAATCGTGTTTGTGGCTTGTCCTCACATTTGGTTCTGTTTTGATCCCTCTGCGACTTTATAAAAGAAAATCACCACAAGTCTTAGATCAGTCAATTTTGTTGTTTTCATGCCCCAAATAGTACATTTTCATTGAGAAGAACGTGGAAAATAATGAATATGTTGTATTGTGGATTATCTGATTTGTGGTCCTTGTATGTGCCTGAACTATTGCCTGTAAGTATTTTGGAATTGGATGTATTTCAGAAGCACCGACATTTGCATGTTTAAGCCCCTAACAGTTTTATCTCTTTTTCTAGTAATTTGTCTCGTGGGATTAGGCCTGGTGGTCTTCTTCTTCAGTTTTCTACTTTCAATCTTTCGTTCAAAGTATCACGGCTATCCATACAGGTGAGACATTGATAGTAATCTGGATGTTTTACTTTTAAACAAACTGTGTTTCAGTGGTTAATTGGGGTTAATAATGTAAGGGTCCAAATCACTAGCCCTCTGCTTTTAAACACTGTTAAGCAAGGTCTGAGCACTCAGCATTTCTTTAGCATCATGAACTGTGCACAGACATCAGACAGTTCTTGTTACCGATGTGTATTTTCATTTTAGAATGCATGTGCATGTGTATGTACGTAGATAGCAAAATGACTTTTAAGGAACAGACTTTGACACAATCACTTCTCTTTGTTATTTTGCATAATTGGGACTTCATTTTCAAGATTGCTTTTTCATATAATCTACTTTGCAGTGTCCTTTAAACATTGCAACATCTTTTGAACAGTATAGACATGTAACTTTTCCAAAAATAGAAGATCCAACTTGAAAGGTAAAAATTAAAACCTTACCTCTGGCCACTCTTAAGTCATCATACTGAAAATCATGTAAGATCGTCAATTCACCAAGTGTCAAGGTTAGAAGTGGGTAGACCTGGGGATTCACTCTAAGAATTATTGTTGGGTATCGGTCACTAAAGCATCTTTCGGTCATTGAGCTGGGCTATCATTTTGGTTACTTCTAAGTGTTTGTCTCTTGACCATATTCTTCCCTGTTTAGGAGCCATGTTTAAAGCTTAACTGTCCATCTCTCTCTCTCTCTCCTGAGAACATAAAAGCCCTCTGTATCCTTCCTTGGAGAGTTTGATACCCATGTCTGCTGAGGTGCTAGGAAAACTAATATTGTGATAGAAAATAAACCCTCGTCACACCTTACATATTTACAATCACAGAGAATGATTCTGCTTAGACCATACCAAAGATTTGTAGCACTCTCAGAGCAACAACACTAGTTGGACCTTTCTCGTTCATTTTCTTCTTGCCTCAATCATTGAAAAGAAATCTATTAAGGGAGGAGGAGAAATGTCTTTAGACATTTTCAGGAACACACATTCTAAAAGAAAAAGTGAAACAGACAGAATCTCTCATTTCTTCATTGTATTGCTATCAGACATCAGTTTCAGTTCTGTGTGTGAGGTGGTTAAATTAATTATATTATTCTGTCATGGGTGGTCTATAAGGGATGCAGAATATGAAAAGAAACAATGTTTTGGTCTTTCATCTAAAATGCAGAAGTATTTAAAAATCAATTGAATCCTATCTGTGTAGCATTTAGAATATATCAAAAAAAAAAACAGAATACCTCTCTGGTTTTAAAAATTATAAAAGCTAGCAGGAGTCGTCATGAAGTTCTCAACCTTACTTAGTTAACAGTAAGGAAGTGTAAAGGGAAAATTAATATAGCTTCCTTGTGTATCAGAGCATGTAATTGTATTCAGAGGTCATATCCTATGTAGATACAAATGTGATGTCTACGAAAAAGAAAAAAAATGTAGTTACTTATAACAGCGTTAGATTTGACAGCACTATTTTTACTACGAGTAGTTTTCCAGTGTGCACACTTGTAAGGGATTGTTATTTAGTACAGTAACTCTCCACTGCTCTGAGTTTGGTTTAGGCTTTGGTGGTGGTGGTTGGCTGGTTGGTTTGTTTTTTTTTTTAACTAGGCAAAAGGTAGAAATCACTGGGGATGGAAGGTTTTCGAACGCTTAGCATAAGCCTTCCCCTTTACTATCCTGCACACAGTAGGACCATCTGAATCGAGTCCCTGCCTGCTTAGCCTGTTTCCAGTGCGAAGCTGAGCTTTCACTGTTTACGGTGACTCATTCCTTGTGAAGGCCCCACTATTCTAGAATTGGATTCATGTGGCTAGAAATGTAGATGAACTCTCTTAAAATGACTCAGAGGTAGGAATCATACTAAAGAATTGGTGTTGTGAGTATGAAATCCGGTAGATTAGATGAAAACACTTGTGGAGTTGCTGCCAAGCAAAGGAATCAGTGGAAAGAAAGCTGGCAAGCTTGAGGGCCTGCGAACCAGTGTCCTGGGGAGAGGTCAGAGTGAGGAGCAGGGGCAGGCTTTGCAAGCACCCAGCCCTTGTGATGTGCTGCTGCGGTGGGGAGGAGGGTCAGCCCACTCGTGGATACTCAGAAAGAAATTACTATCTTGAGTGTATGTTATAGTATTCTTCTTTCAGTGTCTTCTTTAGGAATTCCTACAAGTTTTGCCTTTCATTCCAATATCTTCTTTCTTCACCTTTGATTTTCTCTATGTGAAGTGATCCTTTTCTGATTATTTATTTTCATTTAAATGAAGTGGGCCCACACAGCACATTTTTTTCACACAAATTTTAAAATTTCTGTTTTCTTTGTCTTCATATGTACCTGCTTAAAAGTCTACTTTAAATACCTGTCTTGCTTTCTTAAGGCTTCTTCTTTTTAGTATTAAGAGTGGTCTGCAGCACCAACCTGTTCCATATACTAACTAAATTCACAGGTCACTTTTGAAACCTTAACAAGTAGACTTGCCTTGAATCCTAGTCTGGTTGTGACCATAGGCAAATTGTTAACTTTTTTAACCTTAGGTGATCTTGTTTACAAATAAAGACAATTTTATAGACCACATTTTTATTTATATGAGATGATATATGTATCACTTAGAACACCAGTGTATAGTAGTAATTAATTACTCTATAAATGTTTAATGCTAATTGTCATTAGTTCTGATATAAATATTGACACTCATATCTTATTTCTATCTAAAAGGAGTTTTCTTCACAGTGCACACCAAGCAGCTTTGGTTCATATTTACATAATTCATTTGAGTAAAGAATAGATTGTCACTGAACCTTTTGATGAATTTAATTGGGCTCCAGAGTCCCTTGAAACTTGCCAGTGAAATACCAAGATTCTTAGAGATTTTGTCTAATTACCATCTGAGACATAATTCTGAAGCCATTTTGCTGATAGCACTGACTTCATTTATATATTGAATAAGAATTGACTTTCCCCCTTGCTCTGTTCTCCAAGAAGAGGATGCTGGCATGGATGGATGGTGGTCTCTACTTAGAGATAATTACCTTCTCAGCCTTTTCTGCTGGCACTCAGACTCACAAGTATTTTCTGTAGATGTCTCTTAGAAACGTCTGTGGATCATCAAAGTCACTTCTGTAGTAGGAGAAAGCATGAAATCTCTGTATTTATTCCGTCACTGTGTTAGTTAGCTGTCTGAGGAGTCTTAATTGGCTCGGAGTGACACAGTAGAATAATGAGAAAATAATCATTAGAAGCAGAAGATCTGAATGCAAGTTTGGGGCTCATTTTTGCACTTGAATTAAGAGCTCTACCTCTGTAGTTGCACAAAATCTGGTTAAAATACCTTAGATCTCTTTACTAATGTAGTCTTAGAATTAGCTACTTCCTTGTCATTTTTGCTCAGCTCTGATGTACTTTTAGGGGGTTGGAGACAGGTAGATAGTTAAAAGTGTCTGGTTTCTGCACCTGTTCTGATGTCTTTAGCTATTTCTTTATATTAGATTATACATACCTACCTCAGAATTATATGTGGATAAATGTAAAGTCCCTGAAGTGCTCTTGGTTCTCAGTGACTTCACCTCACCTCTCTTCATCTTCACCAGACACTTGAGCATTTACTTTATATCGCATCACTACATTGTTTTGTTAAGTTTTTATGTACAATTTATCCACATTTCATTTCTTTCCCTTTTAGAAGATAATTTGGGGAACAGTTCTTGACACATTTTGTGTCTACAGAGGATTATGCACATAGTAGGTGCTATCATATACTTGTTAATATTACCTGTTTTCCTCAAAACATTGTCTACCTTAAGATAATACAGAGGAACCATGGAACAGAGTGAAGAGCACTGGTCTGGAACTGTGTCCCACCCCAGGAGCTCTCATATATGCGAGTCACATATCTGGAGATGTATTTGCCCCACACTACTAAGAGAATTTATGTAAAGATAGTTAAATAACAAGCAGACTATTTATTACTTTGGTATATACAGTGGGCCCAAAAAATTCCTCTCATCTTAGAAAGGTACCTGGAGTTGATTTTGAGTTATTATCAATGCCATTAAAATGTGTGATGACATTCCATTGAGGAACTTCATAGTAGCAATTAGAAATGAAAGACACTTAAAATTAGAGGAAAGTTGAGCCTGAATGTGCTTAGCAAGGGGAAGAGGCTTGTAATATATAGGGTTGACAAATTTTGTAGTCATTTATACATTTCAGATATCTATCTTTCATCTACAAAGAAAATGCACAATCCGGAGCTGTAAAAATACAGAAAGGTCTTCTGCGTAGATTGCATGACAGTGACCGAATTGTACTGGTGCTGCCTTCTCGCTCTGAAGAGTGGCGTAAGAGCCCAGGCAGATGGTGCAGAAAAAGAGGGGGTGCTCTCATGATCTGTTGTTGCCTCTCTTGTCTAGATTAATAACTCAGTCTAAATCTTAAAAGAATAATGTGCAGATGGAAATCAAATCTTAAGGATTATTTTTTCCGTATTGTTACATTTCATTGTGGTGTTCGGGAAAGTGATCTGGACATTGAGTGAGAAGATGTGATTTGGACCCTGGCACTTAAACTCCCTCACCTCAGGCTAGTCTTTTCATCCCCTCTGAGCCTGCCTCTTCCCACCCTGCAAACACTTAGGTTACATTAGATGCTGTAGTGTGAGTAGGTACTGAGATAAGCTGAGTGCAGCCTGACACTGCCTTACTTAGCAGCTACCAGGACAAGTCCTCCGATGACACCAATAGTCTTTGGCACCAAACTAACATGTGCTGTTTAAATAATAATGAACAAACATGTCCCCTCCATTTTGGTTCACTTATTTTGTTGTCACTTTACAGGATATAAAACTAAATTGGTGAACAAAAATATTTAATTCTGCCTAGGGAAAAAAATGTAGCCGAATCCCTGTTGTTATTAACAGTACAATTCTTAATATCTAGTACTAATATAAAAATAAGTCCAAGATCATTTTAATAAAAAGTTCAGAATAGTGTCTGAATTCTTCACCATACATTCTAACTACTCAAATCTCAGAACAGAGGAGTACCCTAGAAAGTTATTTCTGTGGTGCACTGGAGCTTCTTATTCTACCCGGGGCTTCACCCATGGACCAATACTAATGCAGAGGGGAGTTGGTCCAAGTAAGGTATTTCACACATGCCGGCTTTATTAATAGTCATGTCATCCAAATTCTTACTAAGTATGCCTCTCTGTACAAACTGTGTACAGAACTGACCTTGCCAGTAGTTAAACTTGGTAGCTATTACCTTCTGTAACTATAAATAGAGAAATTTCCTTCCCTGGGGTCCTTTATTCCTAATAAAGGCCAGAATTTCTTTAGACCTCTTCAAGGGATAAGTTGTTTCAGAGCTGAAGACTTTCCCGGGTTCCCTAGACTCTTAGTAAGGAACGAGCCTCAGGACTTTAAGCTAATGAGATCTGGCTAAGGATGGTAATTACTCTCGCTAGCATCCCCATTTAACACTCGTAAATGTAGAGGATCGCATACTATTAGAAACCTGAATCAGTGAAAGAAAGCACCAGCTCCAAGGAGGGGAACTAGTGGTCGGGTGTGGTACACCTGCCACCTGCACTTGTGAGGGCGACAGGAAAATCAAGAGATCAAGAGCCCATTGCAAGTCCTGAGGACACAGTGACACCTTGCCTCAAAAATTAAAAAAAAAAAAGAGTCAGGGAAGAAGAAGAAAAAAGAAAAGAGCCAACCCTCACTGTACTTAGTGGAGACCTGAGGTCCTTCTTTCCCCTGAACACGTTGGAAGAGAAACCTGATAGCATCCCTTTTAGCACAGATGTGACTCTTGTCAGAGACTCCACCCCGGCCACCAGAGCTCCTGACTCTTCCCTTGCCTTGAGGACATCAAGAGCAGGGAATGAGGAATTACATGCAGTCAAAGATCTCAATACTTCATTAGCTCCCACTTGGACCAAAATGCATTTGTCCAAAACACTGTGTACATCTTGGGTTTTCAAAACATCAGGAAGAGGTGGAGAGGTAAAAACCAAGAGGAACAGTGAACCACTGTTTCCTAGCATTTCAGACAATGAATGCACTCATGGGGGTGTGGGGGTGTGACTATCGGGATAAACCTTTGACCTTTATAGCACCATAAGTGACTAGTTTTTCCTTTCAATCTTCATGCCCTATATTTTTAACATGCCAATCATGCCTCTGTTTTTCTTTTATCTCACTGCCAGATGTGTTAGCACTAAATAATGACTTGAGCAGCTGCTTCTGCATGCCCCAACTCAGCACCATCTCTGCATCCCAAAGGATGCTTTCTCCAGCTCCTCCCTGACGTAGGAGTTGCAAACTGTAGAGTCCTTGTACTCAGCCCACATCTTTGTCCTACACTGCTAAAGGACTGGTCCCCTCACATTCTTTTCTCACTGCTGCCGTTTTAGCGACATTTTCTCTGTGCCTAGGATTTTCTCTCTAGAGAAAAGTGTAAGGAACATGGCTTGTCATTCCACTTCCTGTAGCACCCTTCCGTGCCAAGTCCTCAACAGTGATGATCTGTAGCACTTTGCTAACTGCTGCTTAAAAGTGACTTAAAAGGGGAGGCTGTGACTTGAGAAAATTTGTATCATGTTCTATAAAACGTTATTTTGAATTTTAAGTAATGAACTTACTAGTGTGCTTCTGAAATGTTACCTTCATGAAGCTAAGGGGAGTGTTTGTTTGGTTTGTTTTGTTTTTCTGTGTCCTGGATATGAGTAAAAGAGCCAACATAAAGAAAGATGCATTTGAGATCATCCTCCCATTCAACTTTATAATCTATTATTTCTCGGTGTCCCTTACATACTTTGAGCAATAGTAATGCTTCAGAGACAGTGTGAGCATAGCTACAGACCTGAGGCTACAGGAACAGAAGTGTTTAAGGATATCTGTACAAGTCTCTTACCTGGTGTTCAGTGTCCATGTGAGCAGTTCACTCCCTTGCTCATTAGCTTCTAGCTTATACTGTTACCTCGGTTGACAGAGTGTATGTTCAATCATTACCAGCCAGCCAGGAGTCAACACTGAAAATTCAGAGTCCTGTTGCCACCGTGAGATCTGTTCCTGATGGAGAGTACTACGGGGACAGCAGGGCATAAGGTGGCACCCAAGGCAGCTTCTTGCTCCTCCAGAAAACTAATGGCCCTGGAGAATACAAATAAGAGAAATATGTTCAATATTTGGTAATTTAGCCTTAAGTACAATATAAAAATATTTATACATCTTTATGATAAATAATGTAAGGGAAAATATCTAAGCACCATTCAAAGTATAAGTGTAAAAGAACTGTTACACTGTTTGATAATATATCAACATTGTTAGGCAGGCACAGATAAAAGAAAAAAGATACATCAGATCAAGCTAGATAGAACTAAGACTAACCATGGAATGTTGATTCCAGTGTGATGTATTCAGTATGCTGCATTCATGTTAAAACATATCTTGGGCATTCCATCTTCATATAATGGAAATAAAACATGAAATTCTGAGTCATTACCCAGAGAAAAACAGCTGGTACTTTTCTAAGAAGCATTTTTTAAAGATTCATTTTATATGTATGAATGTTCGCTACATGTGTATATGTGCACAGCATGCAGGCTTGGTAACCCTAGAGTCCAGAAGAAGGCATGAGATCCCCTGGAACGGGAGGTCCGCATGTATGACAGTGAGCCACCATATGGTTGCTGGGAACCAAACACGAGTAACAAGTGTTCTTAACGGCTGAGCCCTCTCTCCAGCCCCAGAGCAGGTTTTGTCAGTGTTTAACTGAGGTTTTTCTAATACTTGAACACTATGTTGGTATAATTTTTATAATTCTTTAAGGAAAATGAACATTTCATATGTAGAAAACGAGCAAATATCTTACTAACTTGACTTATTGCTTAGTATAAGACATTTAATAATGATTAGTTTGGTTACACTTGTCATTTCCTAATGATACCTAACTGTGATCATTGGAAAAACAACCCCAGAGTGAACAGATAGCATCTTTCGGTCATGAGTCAATTTTTATAGTAATCACAGGGGGCTGTATAGATGACCCAGCAGTTAAGAGCACTAGCTGCTTTTCCAGAGGCCCCAGGTTCAATTCCCAGCACCATGGTAGCTCCCAGCTATCTGCACCTCCAGTCCCAGGGGATCCAACACCTGTTCTTGCCTCCTTGGGTACCAGGCATGTATGAGATTCATAGATGCAAGCAAAATATACGTAAAAAATAAATTTAAGAAAAATAGTGTAATCACAGAATTACTTTTACTCTGAAAATGTGGCAATCTAAGTACCATAGATTTTTTTTTTTTTTTTGAATCTGGTTCTAAAAAGGCACAGAAATATAAAGGGTGATATTAACTGTTTTTGCCTTTACAGAGGTATATTTTTAGCAATAATAAAATGTTAACTTAGCTGATCTATATGTTGAAATTTTCAGATAATCTCTTTAAAAGCAAAACAAAGGCTTGGTCAGTAAATTGTTTGCCATCAAAACTTAAGGACAGGAGTTTGAGCCCGGAAACTTATGTAAACAAATCAGGACATGGTGGTGGGTACTTGTCCTGGTGAATTGAATATAGAGACTTCCAGACATGTGAGAGTCATGAGAGCCGTTTTTGATGGGTGAAGTGGGTAGCAGGACCAGAGTCAGCTATGGAGAGGCATTGGTGGGGCTAGCAGAGAAAAGCAGATCTGTGAGCTTCTCTACCCAGCCAGCCAGCCTTGCCACTTGGTAAGTTACAGGCCAGTGAGTTCAATTGAAAAAACAAGAAAGGTGTATAGTGCCTGAGGAACGCCAAGACTGTTCTCCAGCTTCTGTACACAGAGAGGTGGGAGGAGAAGGAAGGAAAAGAACAGTTAACTCAGATTTGAGGTCCCCCTTGTTCAATTCTAATTTAAGTCTGTGACAAAGAGAGTGCTTTCTGCACCCACATACAGAGCCAAGCATGGGGGGCTGCCTGTAACCCCAGCATTGCAGGAGCAGAGACAGAATGCCCCAGAGCCAATAAACTAAGAGAGACAGTGAATCAGGGAGAGACTTGATGTCAGACTCTGGCCCCCATACCCATGTGCTGATATGCATACAAGCACAAGTTTACTACATGCACACAATATCCGATAAATATTTCTGTTAGCTCTCATTCCTCAAGGTGGCTTTACCCTCTGAACAAGTTGTCACTGAGGACAGAGAGTGCCAGTGAGGGCATGTGCATGTGCGTAGCACAGCTCTGCCTGGCCAGCTGCTGCTGACATTTGTGTGGATACAGTGGTAACTGTGGTTTGTACCCATCGGGATGACTAATCACTTCCTTGCAGAGGAGACGCTTGTCTACTGCAGTCATCAGGTGCTATCCCCCAAAACAAAAGCACATACTTTCTGTCTTTAACAATTCTGTAAAAACTATTACACCTTACAACTACTATATGTACGTTACATTTATTGTAGCTAGAGATTTCCTGCCTTGCCCACAGTCAGGACAAATCTTTGTCACCCTCCAGTCCCACAGCCGCTCAGACCCGACCAAGTAAACACAGAGACTTATATTGCTTACAAACTGTATGGCCGTGGCAGGCTTCTTGCTAACTGTTCTTGTATCTTAAATTAATCCATTTCTATAAATCTATACCTTGCCACATGGCTTGTGGCTTACCAGCAACTTCACATGCTGCTTGTCCAGGCGGTGGCTGGCAGTGACTCCTTGTGCCTTCCTGTTCTTTCTTTTCTCCTCTCTGTTAGTCCCGCCCATACATCCTGCCTAGCCACGGACCAATCAGTGTTTTATTTATTGACCAATCAGAGCAACACATTTGCCATACAGAACATCCCACAGCAATTTATAGAATCAGAAATTATAAAATAATATCAAAGCAATATATAATGTTTTACTTGTATATGTAAAGATATTATATATACATAAATTTAGTATATCTCTCAGTGCGTTTTATCTAAGCATTTATAAACATCATTAGCATTAGACAGAACTTTGTTTACCACAACAAGTGTTCTATTCACTAACGAGGAAACAAAGGTTCAGAAAGACAAAGCCAGGATATAACTTAAACATCCAAATATTAAACTTACTAGGTTGAACAGTTTTCTAACATCTCAGCTGCAATAATCATTAATTTCATTTTTGCTTCAATATTTAGTTTAAGAGTGGCTTATATGCAAGGTTGTAATTAATCACTATTTTATATAAGCAAATGAATTATAAATTCAGTAGAACGTAAAATTCCTTCAAGAAGTTCAAACTTAGATATTATTTAGGTCCATCCCTTTATTTCCCCTAAATCTTCATTTTAGATGCCCATGTCGCTGTTGCTCACCTAGCACATATTGGTCACCTCTGACCCAGTCCTCACTGGAAGCCTGACCCTGTCACAGGAACTTGTTTCAAAATCAGACAGATCCTAATAGCAAAGTTTCAATTAGCTGAAGATGATGATGGCGGCATTGTTGTTACATTGTGTGAGCTCATTTAGAATGGGATAAGTAGCTGTTGTGCCTCTCTTTTGCTCCTTGTGTAATAATTTTCTTTCTTTTTCAGCTTTTTAATTAAATGAAGCCGAGTGGGATTTGCATAAAGTGAGTGTTTACTGTGAAGAGAAGCGGATCCCAACGCTATCTTATTTGGAACTCTTGAATTCATTCTTTGTTGATTGTGATACGCTAGCTTATTCTTGTAAAATTTTTTTAAACTGTGGATTTTCCTAAAGAATTTAATTTATAAAAGTGGATATGTAACATTTAGTAATCCACAATGGAACATCAAAGTGTTTTTTCAGTATTCTCAGTGTATGCCACTGGAGTGAAATAAATAACAGTGTAACTATGAATTCACGTTTTAGAACTATGTTTGCTCCTTAGTAAAGAAACCACATGTTAGTAAAGGAATCCATGGAATGTATGTAAAAGAATTATTAGTACTGTACAAGGATAGAGCCTCTGCATGAAATATGTCGTGTGGACATTCTTACTGCTGTTCCACTTATAAAGGACGTGCACTGTTACAAAAGTGTTTTGTTCTTCTTACCATAACTATACCATGATGCATACAGGGCAAAGGGCTGGATAATGTCAATGCCAGTTCAGATCCTTATCCTCGAGAAAGGAGCTTTGGGGGACCCAAGCCTCAAACATGCACTGTGTCACCATGACTCAAATGGAATCAGGCAGTAGAACCAGCACATCATGACTGCCACGTACTGTTTCTCCATCTCTTGAAGGATTGTTCAGAAATTCCGACTTAGGAGATCAACCCTAATCTTCTATGGTCATTTTCCTTTTGTTTAGTGAAAGCATCTGCCTTATGAATGGCCTGGGGATCCATTAACAGTTTTCCTAGAATGGCTCAAAAAAATTTAAAAAAAAAAAAAACAAAAAACAAATATAGGAATATAACCATTGTTACCTTTGGAACTGACTTAAATTTATGCAGCACATCCACATACATTACAGTGTTCATTCCTCACATCTTCTAAATGGACAGAAATACAAGAAATTTTCTGTGCATTGCAGCTGAAAACCAAAATATAAGTTGTGCTTATAACCAGGTTTTCAAACTTTAAAGCCTATTTTTTTCACTCTGTACTACAACTGGAGATGAATTCAGGAGATATTTATTTGATTCAGTAAGTTTTATCATTTTTAAAAGCTTATTAACTAATTTTCACTAAGATCTGAATAACAGAATTGTGATTTGTCCACTGGCAATCTCAGCTGTATAGTCACAAATAGGAACATGGTGTATAGCCACTGAGTTTATCTATTTTGTACCTATGAGTTTCTAAAACAGTGGGAAATATACAAGTTTATTGATCTATATCCTAGGAGAGTTGTGTATGTTTTCTTTTCAAAACATGGTAATATTCTCTGAAATTACATAGTCAGAACTATATTAACTTTATTATATAGTCTTAAATCTGTTATTAAACCATAATTTCTTTAGTTCAGTTCACAGACAATAAATTCGGTATTGATGTCATTTATGGAAAATGTCAGCATCTATTTGATGCCTATCCCTAGTTATCATTTGAATTTTAATTGTGTATCCATCTATTATTTCTATAGTCTGAAAGTTAATTGAGTCAGAACTTCAGAGAATGTAAATAGAATTTGTTGCCAAACTTTACAAATAACAAATATTTATTATAATTAAATTTAATTGTTGCCTAAATCCCAAAATTATCTACTTATGCAGTTAGTTAAATGATACCGGCAAAACACATCATTGCTTGCTCTAGACCTTATATCCATGAGCACAGCCAGGTCACCCTCAGCCCATGTGATAGAGGTGGGAGGTAGGTATTTCCTTATCCTATATTTGTAAGAGTTTTTCCAGGCAAAGTTTAGTAATTTCCTCAATATGAAAAGTAAGTCAATTAATTACAATTATTTTTCAAGAGCCGTAACTCTAGCTTCAGGGGGATCCAATGCCTCTGGCCTTCCTAGCACCTGCACGTGTCTGCACATACTCAAACATAAATACATAACAAAAAAATTAATTTTGTTAAAGTTTTATTTCCTAATTTCCTAACTTAAAGTTACAAGTGGGACAAAAGTGATGGTTCAACAGTTGAGAGTGTTGACTGTTCTTCCAGACGATCCAGGTTGGGTCCCGAGCACCCACATCAGGTGACCTACAACCATCTATAAGTCCAGTTCCAGGGGTCTGACACTTTTAGCTTATATTCACTGTATTGAAAATTTTCATTAAAAGTCATCATACATTTGACAATCTCTCACTAAAATTTAAAAATTTTTAAAATGACTTTTCTTCTAGGAGAGAAAAATCATAATAGAAAAATCCCCTTTCAAGGAGTTTCATTTTATGATGGCATTTGCTGGTCAACTTGTTGGATTTTCTTCAGCACAGTGCTCCTTGTATTATGTATGCAAACAAATAAACCCAATAGTATGTACTAGCCATAAATTTCTCTTACAAATAAAATAATATTTCTCATCAGTTATAATTCTACAGGCATGGTGATTTGGAGAAAGTAGACCTGGCTGTAAACAGAGAGTTTAACACATATTCTTGTGTTGACCTCTAAAGATAAATGAAGGCGTATCATTGTTTTAAGATCAGTGACAATATACATTGTATTTCAAGACTCTCTGGCCATAGGGGCAAACACATTAACCAGACCATCTGGACACAAAACATTTCAATGTGCAGTTAAAGTCTTAATGTTTTTTGACATCCAAATAGCCCACTAAGGTTAAAATACTAAAACAAGTACTTGTCATATTTTAGCAAACCGATACTGTATCAGATCAGTGGTAAATCTAGTAATACCTACTAACGATTGAAAAAGGGTGGGCATTATAAATACTCATACTTAAAGCAAACATGTGTGTCATGTAGCCCCCAGATTCCCTATAATTCATGAGGATCTGTTATTTCTGAGTTTTCTCACATTCCAATTGAACACATATATGGGAACCAATGCATATATTTTATCATGTAGCCAGAGAATCTAATGTGTTTAAAAAAAAAAAAAAAAAAAAAAACACTAAAATACATTAAGAGTAAGACAGGAAAATTGTGCCGTTGGTATACTACCCAGTGGGTGGTAGATACAGAAAAGGAAAGGTAGGAAACTCAAGGGATACGTGCCTCCACTAAACACTAGAAAAATTGACAGAACTACCAGGATCAGTTTGGCTGGAAGTTTAGAAAACAGGCTTTTAGCAACCAAGCAAATACCTTAATCAATCCAGCAGCAACTTGAACCCATTAGAATAGATAACAGCATTGCATCTTACTTCTCTTCCTTTATAGTTCCCTGTTGGCAGTAATGTTTGAAGATGCAGCCTGCATTTCTGATGCGGCTTTCCAGTTCAGGAAGGAACAGAACAATCCCTCTTCCTAAGAAAGTGCCAAGAGTTTTCCCTTTGTTTCATTAACTCAGAACTGTCTTGAGGAGAGGAAGATGCAGGGACAAGGACAGAAACTACAAGATCATCTCATTGGATGGAGAAAAGACCTTTGGCAAAATCCAACATTTCTTCATGATCAATTTCCTAGAGAGTCTAGGGATACAGAGTATATATCTCAGCAGAATAAGGGCAGTATACAGCAAGCCCATGGCCAACATCACATGAATTGGAGAAAACTGCAAAGCATTTCAGCTAAAAACATTGACAAGTCTAGGCTAGCCACTCTTCCTGACTCCTGTTCAAAAATAGCATATGAAGTCTTCCTTTAGTAAGACCAAAGGAGATAAAGGGGATAAAGATACAGTAAGCAGTCCTTTTCTTGTACATGGAATGGTTCTATACATAAAGGACCACAAAGACTACCAGAAAACACATACCTACCACTGATAAACACTTTGAGCCAAGCATGGGAATATAAACTTCAATGACAGGAAACAAAGTAACCAAGTAACTAATCTGCCACTGACTTGGATTTTTCATCCCAACTAGCTAACTTTTACAGTGCTGGAAGGTGCTTTGCACACCAGTAGAGGAGAAAAGTGATCATCCATCTTACCAGCTATGAAACGTACAAACTACACTAAAGACCAGACTGGCAAAACATGAACATTGGTGCAATGGTACTATAAATACCATGGGAGTAACCAAGCACTCTGATTGGATTTATGGCCCACTCCACAAGATGAAACTGATTGGATTTAAGGCCCACTGCACAAGATGAAACCCATACTTGGCATGGTTCCTAGGGCCAAAACCATGACTAGTAAAGTCGAAGACCCTAAGGGAGATCCTACAATGATTACAGTAAATGAACTTGGCATTAAACTGACTCAAATGATGTGTTGTAATACCCATAAATCCATACATCTCGCAACCTTCATCAGAGAAACTCTTTTTTGCAGTAGATAGAGATTAAAATTAAGACCCACAACTAGTCAAGGGGCAGAGAATATAAAGTTTAGGGTTGTTGGGCTCTAAATGGAATATATATCACACCATCCTCCCCAGGTTCAAGGATCACTACAAAAGAGGAGTCCAGAAGGTTTTAAGAGCCAGATGTGATGGGTGACTGCAGCAACAGTCTTTTTTTAGACATAACTGGGAAATTGCAATGGGAACTCACAGGAGTGGCAACAGCACGCACAAGACTTGGGCAATCTCGAGAGAAAATTCCAGTATAGAGGAGGTAGATAGGTCAAAGTTTTATTCTTGTTTAAGGAGCTTTTGGCAATAAATAGCTGCTCAAAGAGAGGATCTGTTTTCTCTAAGGGTGTAGCCCTGATAAGTCAGCCACAATACAGGGGATCCTCACACATCCAAAGAGTTTATGTGAAGCAAGTTTGACTTGATCGGTGTTTTGATTATTTTTCAATGAAAGCACACAAAGTTGAGTGGAAAGGTAAGGGGAGGATAGAGGATTTATCTGTCCAGAATTATGGCGAGAGGTAAAATTTACTAAAAGATTTTGTATGATATTCTCAAATAATTAACATATTTTCAACTTTAAAATAATATTATGAACACAAGGAGAAAAAGCATTTTATTTACAGAATACAAGAGAAAAGACTCTTAATGAGAGTAGCAGGAAAGAATCAACCATGTCCAAATGAGCAAAGCTCTAATACTAATAGGAAGAAATGGACTACAAATAGGCCAATCAATCTATAATGTCATAGGAAATAATTAAGGAGTTTGAATATGTAGGGTAAGTGGACTAGCATCCCTATGTATTGTCTTGAAGCTCATAATTTCCAAAGGAATCTAAAAATTGAGAACCAAATGTTGAAATCAACATATCAAGCAAATGGAAGTCACAACCAAGCTGAAGTCATGATTTTCATCTGATAAAGTTATGCCCAACTATTCAGAACAGATAAAAAGGACTGCCACAGGGCTGGGCAGAAAGCTCAGCTGCTAAAACCCTTCCTGCCCAAGCATGAGGAGTACAGCTTTGATACACAGACATCTCATAAATGCTAGGTAGGTAGAAGGATCCATATGTAATTTCAGCCTTGGGAAGCAGAGCCATGAATCCCCAAAGCAAGCTGGAATTGATTGGGAGACCCTGTCTTGACGAAAAAGGTTAAAGAGTGATTGAGGAAAACTATCAGCATCAACTAGGCCTACACACACATGGAAGAACATGCATACAAACACATAAGCACTTCCCACACGTTCACATAAAAAATAAATAAAAACAATGATTTTTAAAGGAGGATCAGTGCATATTAATAGAAAGAGCAATTCATGAAGATTAATAATATATATGCACCAAATCTTGTTGCTACCGATTTCAGAAAGCAAATGATAAAGGACCCATAGGTCCTGAACCTATAACGGGAAGTTTTCAGTGCCCCGTTCTGATACTTAGATAGAGCTTCCAAATGAAAAGTCAGCAAAGGTATCACAAAGAGCTGAATTACACATTGCTAGAGGTATCACAATTGTCTGATTTCAAATTATACCCCAGAGTCTTAGTGACAAAGACAGTATGGTGATAGCATAAAACCAGACATAGATCAGTGAAACATAATACAGAACCCAAAAATAAAGCCACACAGCTATGGTCACCCAGT